CGTAGAAAGAGCTATCGTGAGCTATTATAAGAGAATATTCAAAATGAACAACCTTAATAGAAGTGTAAAATAGATTTGGTTTACCTACCGGTGTCATAATTTTCTTTTTACTTGGCAGTTTTCCTGTTAGAAACACTACTAAACAGAATTTAATGGTGGATATTAAGCCTTGTGTCAATATTAGCCTGCGAAATGCTGTTGTGTTACGACAATAGTATGCGCGTAACCTAAACTTTAGCCTGCTTAAGGAACAGGTATTTCTTCACAAGTAGTTTCTACTTGGGTTGCATTGCCAAGACTTTTGCTTCTTCTCTATAGTCAACGATTCGCGCACACCTAACAGCCATGGTTGCTCCACAAGTCATTTTCGTAAGAAACCCTTGTGCTTTTTGTTTTGGACGCCATTGATTGATCTACTGAAATATCTCCTGAGGCCTGCGTGATTCTTAGTACCTGGCACGGCTAACTTTTTCTGCGATAAGTATGAACACACTAAACCGAATTACCTGTTGGATCGGGTCTCCTACTAAGCAGAAATACGCTGTTTTTCTCTTATTGTCATCCCATTCCCTTCCTGTAGTTTGCTTGTTTTCGCTTGTTGTTCAAGACTGGGCCAATATTATGTAGTGACGGACTCCTGTTTCCAACTTAATCAGTAAACTCACGAGAGGCAAATTACCACTGACTAACCCGTGAGTAATAAGTGCGTCTAACTCGAAAGAAAAAGAAATATTGATCACTGTGTTTCTTGTATGTTCCTTTGAAATGAACAACATAACAAGGATACAAATTAGCTAATGCGATGTTGCTTAATCCACGTGCAAACACGGCCAGATGGGAAGTGGAGGTATGCATGGAACCTCAGAGGAACTACACTGGGTGGAACCTATCCCCAGGAAACGGTTCCCTGGTTGGCTGCACTACTTCAACTGGTCATTAGACTTTATCTACGTTTATAGTTACTGCTAGTTTTATTTACTTCAGTACATGACCTAGGGCAACCAATTTAAATATGTTGTTGAGTACTAAAACTACAAATGGCATAAATAAAAAATCCTGTACTTTCTGCCATCCAGCTCTACAAATTGCTCTGAGTCACTAAATAGCTTTACATTGCGTCTGACTAAGCTAAAGGACCAGTCAGACTTTTGCCTATTTAACCGTCCTAACTATTCTTGCTCTTTCCTATTTTCCAATTATACTAGGCTCTTAATCCTTCAGTTAGCGTGGGTCAGCATGTATTATCTCTTTGAAAATTAGTAATTTGGGATTTCTGCTCCGTATGTGTCTTATGTTCCATCATTGTCGTCGAGAAGAGAAAATTCCCATATTTTTACCATAGACAGTGCAATTAAGAAGACCTCGTCTATCAAGCGTCGGAATACTCGACTCATCAGTTGCGCTTGCTTTAGCTACATTCTACTGTAGAAATCCCTTTAGATCCATGGAATCGCATTTCTGCTCGGCTGTGTATTCATAAAGTCGTCTTGAACAGCTGAGCAAGCTGTATTAGGGAAATGAACATTACGGAAAATTTAGTGCTTTATTTTGCAGATTTAGTAAATATCTTCAATTTTGCTGACTGTATTTAGTGCCATTCCTCACTAACCTCTAATTTGTTGGTTCCTGGAAATTCTGTTTTTAAGTTGTCCCTAAGTGAATATGTTTTTCATATTAACATAAATCAGAGGAACACTTTCGATTAACACATGACAGCTGGAAGAAGCATGATTTTCAAAGCTGTGCAGCTTACACTATGGATTCGAAATAGATGGATGTCAGAGAACGAAGCACTCGAGAAAAGGCACCTGATGAAAGAAATTTATTGGTTATGTTTGCGAACAAATAAAACAAGTTTCTTATTTTATGCTAATTATGCGATATTAGCAGTTGGACCGTAAGCTAAGGTTGAATTTGCATCGATTCTTTCTGTGGAAGATAAGAGAAATAAACATTGAAATTAATAGTTGCGAAGTCCCGTATTCGCTAGGTTGAAGAAAGTGTCGCTAACCTAAAAGCGATTCATGATAAAATAGCGACTTTACGGAACATTGGGTTTTATGTTCCGATTCTAGGTTAACGATTTCCACCCAAATGCATATCACAGCCATTTGTAATACATGATTGTAACAGTCATTGGACACAATGTTTCAGACAACTTACCTAATTAATCGTAATCACATGGATGTGAGACTATATGGATGCTTTCTTGCGCTTCCTTCTTTACGGTTATGCAACAAGCAATGCGTTCAAATGGAGTTAAATAGTCAATAAACGTGTATTAACAAGTGAAACAAACAGTTATGGAGAAAACTACAATCCCGCATTAGGAAACGGCCGATTTGGGTACATGGCCACATAGTATGCTTTTGCGTATGTGATAAGATCGTGTCTGCATGTAAAATCTAACTTTACACTCCTAAGTGAGGTATGCAGTGCGGTTGTTTGCGGAACTCGGTTCGGGAACATGGAAACTTCAAATCTTTAGCACAGACTCCATATTCATTCAATGAAATACAACCACTGATGATTGGTTGTCAACCTCTAATTAATTTTAAGACACTTCGTAAGCTGAATATTCTTCAACACTTTCAACTACGCAGACTGCATTCCAAATAGGACACTCAAATGTCAGAATCCCTCATATGTATTCACATGCACCGTATTAAGTATAAAGTAAACGGATCATCCTCACTAGCTGTCAAGTGAAATTGAGACACATGGGTTTAAGTAAATTTTTTATTTTATTCATTCCAAATCTGATTGTTCTCAGTTTTCTGGGTGAAATGTCCGGAGTTATTGTCCTAAACTGATGTGATTACTTAGGTGCTTCTACCAATGAGAGTGGAAAACTTCCATCATGTACACGCTGGGTTCCTGACTATTACTTCTGTCAAATAACAGTTTGCACTAACTCATCTACACGATAAGTATGATTAAGATATACATAAGTGTTTTTGATATCTGTATTCACTAAGGATGTAATCATCCGGGGACAAGCAAACTTATTCCAAAAGGCAGACATATTCATGTGACTCCGTTTACGCATGGAGACTGGTGTGCTGAAAGTAGTTTTCTTCCACTAGCAGCCGGTTGTTCCCTATTAGTTCCTACTTGGCCGAAAATGCTGTTCTGCAGCTGTTGGGAACGCACGTAATATGAACCGTGGAAAATAAAGCATTGTGCAAAGCAAATTAAACAGGAAAATCTCAGACTGAATTGTCTGTAAACACCATTATTTTACCTTTCTGGTTCTGGGTCAAATTATCACGTTACACTTCTGGCAGATGGGTTAAAATTCAAATCTTGAATTTCATAACTTGCACAAAGCAAACTATAGTATAGATATCCAGAGTATGTTGTTAGCGCAAATTGTTCATTTAAGATTTCACTTAATATTTGGTACTCAGATCGCCAGATGTAATTCGAGCAATCTACTTAAGTACGATTGTATGCTTATTGCAATTTGCATAATACGGCCATTAATGTTACACTTGTGATTCTGCCTATTCAATAAAGAGCGTGCGATATAATTGGATGAAATCAAACAGTAACACTGCAAGTAAGGTTTGCAAAGCTTTGCTGTTTTAAAGATGGAAAGATTAGTAAAATTGATAGTCACAGGAGTTATTTTATTGTTCTATTATATCAACAAGAAGGGCACAGCCGACTATCTCCTCCTAATTTTCACAAATTTAATGATAGTATTTTTGACCCATGTTCTTGTTCCCTTAATCATGCAAGTCCTGCTTTACCGTTTATTCGGAATATTAGAAGACAAAGCGTGTTTGGCCATTTCAGTTCTTTGGATGGCAGAGTGTGTAAGCTTTATGGTCAGATGTTAGTTAGATTATCAATTATAAGCTTGCTGGTATTGTGCTCTTAGAGCCAGAGAAAATTTCCTCATATAACTTTGATTCAGCGGAAGTAAATCGGTTAGCATTCAAACCGGGAACTTAATTAGTATGGTTAAACCTACAACTTGGATTTCCAGATTGTGGTGTTCAAGCAATTCTTAAATAATATAGTTAAGTTTACATTCTCATACCATCAAAGGAAAAGCCTGCAATTCAATTAAGTTCGATTCTAACCATGACATAATATTGTGACTAAGTTCCTTTTTGTGAATATATTAAAATTGCATCGAATATATTTGGTTGAGAACAGAACATCCAACCGCAGCCAAGGTTACTAAATTTTTCTTGGTTGAAGGATGGACTAACTAAACCAGTTAATAACCACGAGCTTTGCGTTGGCGCAACGTATACACCCTCATTGATTTGTTGAATGAAACCACTAGCAAACGTGCTGGTATCGTTAATCACGTGAGAAGACTTTAGCATGGAGGCCAACTGCTATTTCTCTACCTCCACGTCAATAGTCTATTGCAGTTTATCCAAAATGATAAAAGGCTAATTTTTTCGGATGGTGGAATCTGCACCCCTGACGCTTGAAGTTGGATTTATTTAAATGATCCTGTGCTATTCCGCTGTCATCTGATTTGTTAGAGTCAGCTGAAAAATTGGCAAGTAATAGTGACCCCACGGAGCTATGTACAAACGCGATACATAATAAACTTTTGGGTAAGATATGTGTGCACCGAGAGTATAAACCGGTCTCGATGCAAAAGGCCCGATGCAATGTACAAGTTTTTTTGACACAATAAGGTCAGCGTAATAATGAACGACGTTGAGCTTGAATAATAAATCACTCGTCAATCAATATCTTTTAAATGCGGATAAGTTGAACGCGCTCCAAAAGACTTCCGCAAAGTCACATGGTAAATGATGATGCAGCTTTTGAAAGATTCATTGTGTATGAGCTCATCACGAAAAACCGTACATGAGCCTTGTATGTCTTTATTTACAGTAAGACTAAATACATAATCGGTTCACGGACTGTCGGTTAATTGGCATTTACAGTACAGTTAGGACCATCGCAGATAATTATATGGATGTTTTAGTCCGTGGCTCATTCACACGCAACTCTCAGTAAGATAGTTAAAAAGATCGATCTAACTTACATGGTTCATCATCCTCGTAATTGGCGAGGATGTCGTCTTCATCTGAGGTGGGTTCTAGAACTGTGTTTTGTACACGGGTAAAGAATTATTAATGCTATAAAAATTCCACGCTAATGGTTCATATATCAATGTACAGTAAAGGTAGTAGCCGCATACTTCGGCTTTTTGAATAATATCTTAGAGCATACAATGTGTTATGTGTATTCATTCGGGTGCACTGAACTATGAGTCCTCTATGCCACTTGCAATATTCTAAATCGTATAAAAATACAGTCTTAGACAAACTGCTGCGTCGTGTTCGCAGCCCGATGACAGTTACTGGTGAGATAATCGAATGTGATAGATTCTTTAGGTGCACTAGCTTGGACTAAATTCAATGCGGTTGCATGCATAACCGAGTTGCAAGTTTGACAATAAGAAGCAAATGAGCATACCAGAATCCGTTGCTTCATTCCGATCGATGTTCTCTAATCCTTCATCTTCTGCAGAAGGTGCTGAAAATGAATGCGTTAGATTTAGTGACATTCGAAGGAGTAGCTAGGTTCCGTGTGTTTCAAAACACGTCGAGTGCTTCCGATCATTAAACAGCAGCGTCCTCCAACCGGCTAAATGCCTGATACCGGAACATTTGCTTTGGCCGACATTTTTCAATAATAATGTCATCGCTCTTAAAAACAACATGTATGTGTACCAATATACCATGCAGAGCATGCAACATTAAGATGTGCTGTAGTAGCTTAGTTTAAATTAACGACATTGCAAAATATAAAGGTTCTTAGTAACTAGAGATGAAAGGCATGTTATAGAATGCCTATGGAACGTTACCTAGACGTTGGTATCTGTATGACCTGAGTCTTTGGTCATCGTTAGTAAGCATGTTTAACGTTTGATTAAGCAATTTATTACATACTTCAGCTGAATTACTCAACCAGGTGCGTGCACGCGCCCAAAGATCTACTACTTACTAACAGGGAATTTAACTATAGAATGCTCATTCCCACTACATACCTTTTCGCTGATTCGCATACTCTTTTGCATCAAAATGAATTTGTCAGTCACCAATGCACCTATACAGTTTGGAAATGAAATCCCTTAGTCATGCGTCGAGCCTGATAGCATAACAGTAGAATTTCTTCGAATGTGCACTTCTACTAATTCAAACCCTATTCTTTCGTGTCGTAAAAAGCGGTCCACAAACCGTAAACATTAGAATACGTTAAAACTATAAAGATACGGCGCTGAAAAATGAAATTCTGCAAGCGGTATTTTTACGCCGAGTCAGGTTAAGTAAAAATAGACTTTATACGATTAAATGGGTGCTTTACCAGCATTTATACTATCATTGCAGATACACTGAATGTATGGGACCAGTTAATGTGACATAAATGCAGATTAAAGAATTAAGCAGACATAGGTATGTATATAGAATTCAGAGCGTCACATGCGCAAATCCTCCATGACTTTCTTATTTTTGACAAGAAGGCGTAACAAAGAAGATAGTATTGTGTTGCCAGGGGAAGAATTGTGAGCGAATAAAATATTAAATTTTTGAGCGCGTGTGAAAATCGGATAACATTGGTGATAGAGCATTATCTAGTGGGTGAAAGCGGACACTTTCCATAATAGAAAAATTTCCTGCAAGCGTCGAACTGTTTTTTGAGCGATAAAAGCATGTATTTAATCTCCAGGCAAGCAGCCGCATCCGGAAAATTCTTTAACCGATAGCACAATAAAACTATTCCTTTTGTAAAATTCACGGGAAAGCCGTGCTACCAGTTGGGTAGTCCACATGCAGTTACAAATTTCAAAGTCAAACTTAGCGGTATGTAGAACTTCCTAAGTTGTAAAGGATAAAATGATAAATCCCTGACCTTTTAAAACGGAGTGAAGACATGTGTGGACCAAGTGAGGTTTTGGAGAAAAGAGATACTAAGGTATTTGACACCAGATAACTATGCATTCTTTGGTCCTTCAAATTAAAACATGAAAGGAATATCAGATTACAAACAATTGGTCAGAGCGGAGCAATGAAAATGGTACATCCGTACTTTTCAAAGTATGAAGGTAGAGGGACCTGGCTAATGGCAAACTCATAAGTTCTTCTACACCACATTGCAGGATGGACATTTCAAAGGATGGTGCATTGCACTCCAAGACAACAATATCAGCATAGTTGCATCAAATGAAGATAAATGGCCTAGGGAGACTTTCAACACATAAAGGGAATAAAGAGGTGAGAGGATCGCGACCTGCAAAACGTCACAGTCAGCGCTCAGCATAGTGGTGCTTTGCGTACAATCAGTGCAACATTCACGCAAAAAGGTTACAAGCATCAGGGTGGCACTTTTCAAATAAAGTAGGTAACCAAACCCATTCGTTCAAGATTCCCGAACGCATGTGAATAGACCAAAAACAAGCCGTATGAACCTTTAAGTTTTGTCCAACACAGAGGCCATGAAATGCAAAACTTGCTGAAAAATATTTACCGTATAGGGCTGTGGTCTAAACCTAAATTGATCAACATCATCAGCACGAGAATCTGTGAAGATCCTCGGGAGCAGTAGCATTTAGAAGACTTATAAGGAGACGGAAATTGTATTATCCTGGCTGACCTCTAGATGTCGAGGATGGCATTGGTCGTGAGAAACATGCTACAAATATCAGTCAGGGGTATGGTGAATCAATAGGTCGACTGCTTCATAACTAAAAGTATTAAACCATCGGGGTGAATAAATTTATTTGAATTTAGCACCTTAAGCTCCATGTTGACGTGACCTTGAGCAACTCGAGTGGCTTGGCCTCAGCCAATGAATGGGGTTGATGGGAAGCGCTCGGCGAGCAGGAACAAAACTCAGAATTGAGTTCGTCAACATCCGCCATACAAATGCAACCGAGCATATTTTTACTACAGAGTTGTTTAACAGGCTCCAGTGTTTCCAGCAGCTGCAGTTTCACAGTACTGTCTTAATGTATTAAATCTTTAGACTTGTTGTTTCAGCCTTAATTGCCAAATGCAGGCTATTGACTCGGATATTCATTTTGAGCTTGTGTGCAGGTTCTTACTTCCTTGAAGCTGATTAGTAGAGGTGAAGAAAATCTATCGGATCGCAGCTGAATCGTCTCGATAAGGCAACATAATTGGAAGAAACAGTTTACATAACTTGTGAGATGCTCGCATTGAAGCGTTAGATCTTCATCTGTAAAAGCTGAAAGTCGGTTGTTGAAACCATTGCTTAAGTCGTGCGATATATCTGCAGAGCGCTTTCGTCGTCGGATTGTCTCGAATGGTAGTTTTTTCAATGCGGCGCGACTAGTTTGGCTGTAGGTGACGGAGCAAACTATTAAGAAACATTGGTAAGGTTAAGTATTAATGCGCACATATACTTGACAAACGAACGAATTTTTCGCGTAAGCAACATCAGGCTATACGTCCTACCTGGTTGGCAGTTACTAAATTTGCCCCCTCATGCTAATTTCGGTAGCAATACCAAAGAAAGTTGCTCAAGTCAAAGCCTCAGTTTGGATAACAATGTTAGGCGCAAAGTAGAATTTTTCGATGACAACGGATTGGAAGCCGCTGAGACATTTAACTTTGCATACAAGTAAATAACAGCTTCTACGCTTAGTTGGTTGAGTGGATATTTGAATTACTGAACTGCTTCAGAGTTGGTTAAGGTAAATGATGACGGCACCACCACTACTCCTTGGCTTGTCAGGGCGAACGGATCTCATTCCGCTGTATAGATTGGTGTTGTGATTCCATCATCAATATTAGGGTGCGACCACCTTTTTCTAACTTGATATGACCTGTGTTTACCTATTCCTCTCTAAGAGCTGTAAAGTCAGTGAATTTTCCTAGCAACGCACGCACATTCCTAGAGAGGAGGAGCTTTATTTGCATCCACTCCAAAGGAGGTCGTCGGTGATCAATTTTCCAACTGGCAAGAAATTTGCTCATATTTCGCGAATGTTTAGTCACAATCCTTTTGAAATTGCTGCTGCATGCTGTAGTTCGAAAGAATGTCACAATGTCGATTGAGAAGGATAAACTTAGAAACTAAGGTGTAGTTCAGTTAAACAAAACTGGTAAATCAAAATTTTAAAAAGTTATAGGTCTGCAGTGGTCAGCCTATGATAAAAGATGTTCCAACCGGAAGCAGCAACAGATAAGTTGAAGGCCCCGCTAGATACCTGTACCAAAGTAGAGATTGTCATGCTTTTTAGCCAGATATGCCGTTTTATAAGCCGGAATATGTGGGACCTGCTGTTCCAATAATATCACACAACCTTATAGCATCAAAGTACAAATGAATGGCAAACTAATGAAATATATTATTCATGTGAATATTTACATGGTTAGTTTATCCTAATTCATAGTCATTATTGGAATGTTGTTGAATCCCGTTTGTAGCATTAAAGGCAGCCCCAGTAAAACATGGCACCTGAGCGACTCGATCCATGTCTTCTGCGAATCCCAAGTGAATAAGTGTTCCGAAAAAACTACGACGTCTTTTGAAAAATGGTAATGTAACTGCAATAGATTTAAATCTAGCAAACAAGAGCTAGTTTGCGAGAAGTATCTTGACCATGCATTAAACAAGAAAATGCCAATGACTCGTCAGTTACTAACTGCATTAAGTGACTAACTAGAAAATTTAATCTACTGCTGAAATTGCAGTTGGTTATACTGATGTACAAACTCTGTCAACATCCGTGAAACAAATTTATAAGGAACCAACACAACCACTGTCATAGAAAGCGATTGTGAGGTTTTGTACAAACTGGGCTTGATCTGGAAATGTGCATTTAATTTTGCTTAGGATGTAAGTACTTTAATCTCACCTCCTACGGAGTATTTGGGCATACTTACATTGCATTCTCAACCAAATCTGTGACTAGTGGACCAAACAATTTCTCACATACTATACTTGCTCTTGTGTAATATTTCTCATTGTTGCTAACTTGGCTCTTAAATTATAAACAACCAACATCATTACAATCCATAAAGTTTTAGGTGTCCCTTTGTGAATTAATTAATTCCTCCTATGTAACTAACTACATGATTCAATTTGTTCAAGAAATCATTTAGGAAAAGTTAGAAATCCAGTCAAATCTGGTAACCTGTTTTGCATCATATTGTGATTTGCTAGGGGATAGCATAGTATCACATTACATGTTTGGAATTTGTAGCTAATCTCCTAGTAACGCAGGTCTATCTAACCACTAGCACTAGGTATGGACATAACAATAAAGAAATTATAATCATTAAATTGTTACTTAAAATACGTTAGGGGAATTTCCTGTTCTCCACGGCGCAGACGTACGTGAGAATAAAACGCTTTATATAAGGGATTATTGGCCGTGAATTATCAAAATCCTTGGGGCAAATGAAATAAAACTGGATCGACCGTGCCACTGATTTAGGAGCCAGGAACCAAAGAATTAAGTTTACTTTAACAATAAGCTGATAATGTTTTTAAACAACTTCATAAGG